TACACAATATTGAGTATTGAGTATGTCGCGACTCGCAGCAATTTGCACAAAACACTATCGATCGCAATCGATGTTGAACAATTTGATTTTAAGTTGAAAAATCTATGCACACCACTATCTCCTTCTTCAAAGCAATGGTATCATAGCAAACAGAACAAGAAATAAATCCGTTCTAATTCAGTTTCACAACAAATTTTTTTCTATTGTTACAGCCGACTTGAATTCGTTTCGGGCATATTTTTTTTCCTGCTTCTCTTGATATTGAAACGAAATTACTCCCTTTCGCAAAGTGCATACATGCTCTACGTGATTCGCATATGATTCGCCTCACCCGAAAAAAACTAACAAATAATAATTCGTGCGATAAAAAGAAGTGTGAACGGATTTTCTGCAGCCGTGTAGCTATTGTAGAGCGATGAGATCAAACTCAAAACTGAACACTAATCGGGATCGATCGATAACGAAAAAAATGCGAACGAAAAAACAAAAACCGTTCCAAATAGACGTGATGCCACTGAAAGATATGCGAACTGACGTGAAAAATGAAATGGTAATTGTTTCTACTTTTTGATTACGAAACCACTAGACACACGAGAGGGGAGACAAACACACGCGCGCGATGCGTTCAATGTTCCAAAATCAACTGATGCTGCCTCACAGCTGCTGATGGATGCTTGAGTCAGTGAGATTTCGGGATGTGTGTGCGAATTCGGTTCAGGCTGTTGTTTTCCTTTCTGTCATTCAGGTTGGAGCGCAAAAATGTCAGCTCTTGTTGAATTTCCACTCTCTTATTCTCTCACTCACACAACGACACACAACGAAACTCGCATCGCCGCGAGAGAGAGGGAGAGAGAGAGAGAGAGAGAGAGAGAGAGAGAATCGCATAGTCGTGAACCAGCCAGCCAGCCAGCCAGTGAGCCAGAGAGAGGATGCTGATAGCAAAAGCACGTTGACTTTTCTATGTGCATTTTATCCACATTCCGCTTGTTTTCACAAATGCCGTGTAATACTCGGCCAGCGTATGCAGTGATAAGAATGTGGTGCGTATACAACAGCATCAGCTCCATACAATTTTCATGTTGTTTATTCCTCTCTCGCTGTAGGATAGTAGTCACTTTTACTCTCTCGCTTCCATGCTCGCTGTCCGTGTGCATTTTCTCTTCGTCATGTTATCAGAATGAATACCACGAGCCCTACTCACAACTGCATTTAAAATCCGCTTTTTCTATTGATTTTCACGTGCATGTCAAGGCATTTGAATATTTAAAATTTCAATCAACTGCCACAAAAGACTCAAAAGTCTTTGATTCTTCTATTCTGGGCTGTTACAATTCTGTTTGAATTGTGTGTTTTTAATTCTACTTAAGTTCAAATTCGAACAAGCACCTTTCAAACACATTTTTATTGGCCAAAGGTCATGGAATTTATTTTCATTCACAAAGTTCTGCCTGGGAACAATTTTTATTGGCCATCCTAGTTTTTCATTCAACGAAACACAACATTTTGTATTGAAGTTGATAATCCTCCTACAAATTGAACTTTCGTTGACTTTTCATGTATAAAACGCTTTTTGACAGCGTCGATTCGATCTACTTTCGCCAGATGGAGCGCAATCCACAGAGCACTGCGAGAGAGACACACAGTGAAATCGACCTTCATTCAACCTTTTTGACGTTCAATATACTCGGCTCGTTCATAATACGTGCTCAATATCAACGAGATTCACATTCAGTAGCGCGCTAGCTGTGACAAAGAGTGTGTTGTCCGATTTCACAGTTGAAATTTCTACAAAAAGGAATACTTTTTCCCCAAATTTCCATTTGATTCAAGTGTTTTAGTGAGTAAATTAAATCGACATTTTTTTTTCTTCGTTAATTGATTGAATAGCAAGTGTTTTTTATTTTATTTCGTGCAACTGATTTACACATTCATTGAGAGCTGTCAAAGCGATCAAAATTGTATTTGTACAGTCAATAGAGAGAATCTTCGCTATTTGAACAAGTCTTAGTGTTTTGCGTTACATCTGATAGTATAGTTTATATAATCAGATCTTTTTTATGGCATTTTATTGCTTAAAATTGTAATTCAATTGTTTTGGCACACGAGGTAACTCGTGTGAAAGTCAATCAAACGTGCTCGTTCTTCTCATATGAGCAAAGTGTGTGTGTGCTTTTTGGATTGGATCGAATTGCAATTCCCGTTGTGTGAATGACATTGCAAAGAGACATTTTTTTACTTCATTCCTTAGAAAAAAATGTCCCATAGAACCGTTTAATTTGTGTTTCAAATAACCTTTTGACCAGCACACGCTGTTTTCCTTGTCAATGTAATAGTCCGCTGATGTTATGTAATTCGTCAACGTCGTCGTTCGTACAATTAAACTTGTGTTTATCTCAATTTCGATTGCTTGTCATCAGTATTTAGTCATTTCAAATCAGAGGCATTATGTCGTCAACAGTGCCTTTGATGTCATTCCACTAATAAATTTTTTATTTCTTGATAAAAAACAATGATTTTGCGATTCATTCTTATGGGAAGAAGCATTTTTTTTTTCATTCGTTGTCTGAATCGTGTTTGTGCTCATGCGCTGTCATTGGATGTATTTCAATTTGAACGGTGCGAATTTCGTATCCTAGACGCGTGATAGCAGAATCATTTTGACAATGAACTGACCTTGAATTCCACTTCAAATTGATGTGATAATGTGAATTTCACCGGGTGTGACGCTGCTGCTACTAAATGTCAATCAAATCTAGAGCGTACATCGCATCCAGGCAATTTCGATTCGTTGTTATGGAATCTGTCTCTTTCCATACACATTCCATGCAATTCCATTCGACTCTTGTGAAATTTCATTTTTCAATGGCCACGCACACGCCATTGGAGAGATTTCATCACAACCGAATGACTTTGCGCGAGAAAGGTGAAATTGTCACGTCCTCTGTCCAAATATACTTTCGTTTCGTGTGTATATTTCGTTCCAACAACCGATAATGAATGCATATCATGAATGAAAAAACCTTCCTTGCTTTTTAATTTGGACTTCAATGAACTTATTTGATCGCCCCTTTTGATATGCCCTTATCAGTATTTTTTCGGCTTTTTGAAGTAAATAATTTGTCGGTCAAATAACGTATTTTGATGACGATAATCAAATACGAATGATACAAACAATTGTTATAACATCAATTGGAATTTTTCCGAACTTTTTCATTCTTTACATGTTTTTCTATTTCAGTTTGACTTTAAACTGCGTATTTCTGAGCGATATAAAACCGAACACGCATCAAAACTATGCTTCCACCTCAATTGAGCACTTAACAACCGCCGTTTAATTTGTTGCGAATAGCAATTAGAATCGAAGGAAAGATAAACGGCTTCGTCGTGTGTATTCAATGTCAATGCTCAATAGCAAGCGAATAATTTGACCTATTTTTTTTTTCTTATTTTAGTGTAGTCACATGCCTGCCTGACTGAGACGAAATGCGACAGAATTGATTTGAATTCGATTCGAGTGCATGTGCTGTGTATTTGACTCGTCGATTTGATTATGTAAATTGTATTTTTTGCGCAGCGCCCAAAGATAACGCCGACGAGTTGCACGTTTCAATTGTTATTTTGCTAGATTATGCACAAATAACCCGCAACAAAGGGATCAAGCGATTAGTTCAGCTTGTAATTTGATTGTAGCCAATTTTGAGAGAGAATTCATTGAGATTCTACATCTCACTTACTCAACGGCTTTTATAACAAATGCATTGGTTGTTAGACCCCACATGGAACGCGATTGTTTTCAAAGTCAACTTTTTTCATAAGGGCCCATTCAACTCCATAAACTTGAATACAATGAGCCAACTGTTGACGATTTCAAATTCAATTATAAATGCGGGACTGAAAATTAAAAATATTCGGGACTAAGCTATATGTGGCTCTCTATCAGATTCTCTTCCTGCTCAACTTTATTTAAGAGTTTGATAAACAAGTTCGGCGGAGAGATTTTATTTTCATTTTGTTATTTTCATCCATTATCAAACTTGCACTTGTGGCCGTACTTTGCACCGAGCATTTCTTGTTTCTTTTTAAATTCACTCCGAAGTGAACTCACCAAAGTATGAGTGTAAATAACGAGTCAAGCCCTCAAATGATTGCACGTAAACAACAATTGATACGAATTTCAGTTTCAAGTCAATTGATTGTTGCGCCGCTACCGCTACATAATGCGAGTAGAGTCGATAAGATGGATCAACAAAGAATGTATAAAATAAATAAATTTATTTTTGTCTCGGTGTTACATTCAGATGACCCGAAGAATCAACAATACGACACACTCACATTGACAAGTGCACACACAAACACACACACACGCTATTTGTGATTGAATGACAAGCTGAACACAAACAATGACATGTATCTGGTTTTCCGTATTCATTCGTTTATAGGGCAGTTTGAATGTGTGAACGTTGTCTTGAAAGAAATATATTTAGCATGATCATAGCAATCGAATAGTAGTCAATTTTCAGCAGTTTCACTGAACAGATCGATTTACTTCTTTTGTGACACTTTTCTTTTGTAATACAATTCAATTCGCTTTGTAGTTTGAGCTTCTGTTTAGATTTAATTTGAACTGATTGCAATCAGATTAATTTTTTATTAAATAAGCATGTCACTTGCTAATTAATTTCTAATCACCAGAATCTTATTGCAATTATTACAGTTTCATGCAAAATTGACTAATTCAACCGCTTTTTTTTCTCTCAATTTCAGAAAACCCAAAACAATCAATATGACAACCTACTTCAACTACCCACCAAAAGCTCTTCAAGATGAATTAAAACGCATTGCTAACGCAATCGTTGCCCCAGGCAAGGGTATTTTGGCTGCTGATGAATCGGTCGGAACCATGGGAAAACGTTTGACCGACATCGGTTGTGAAAACACCGACGAACTTCGTCGTGCATACCGTGAATTGTTGTTCACCACCGACGACAAATTGTCGGAGAACATCTCTGGTGTGATCCTTTTCCACGAAACATTGTACCAAAAGACCGCTGACGGTACACCATTCGTTACCTTGTTGAAGAAGAAGAATATCATTCCAGGCATCAAAGTCGATACCGGCGTCGTTGATTTGTTCGGATCAGAAGGAGAATGCACCACACAAGGTAAGCAACTTCATTGAGAGAAAATTTGAATTTAAAATCACATTTGTTCTGTTGAGAGTAGAATAGTAATTTTCCACTGATAACAGCTGATTTATCGATGACAGTATATGAGAGAGAAAAAAACCCATGACCTCTGCTTGACGTTTCAACAGATGTTTGCTACCAACAGCGCCATCCGTTGGCGAGCATCGGAAAATATTCCACGACATACTGAAGTAAAAGTTTAAACAGAAGCTTACGATTGATTCACTCACAGGCTGTGAATTCAAAAGCACACCAACGGACTCAAACGTCGGTTATTACATAGCCACTGCAATTGTTTCCATTTAATCGATTTTCACGTAGCAATGCCGGGTGCGATGTTATTAGCTTTCGATGGACACTTTCGGCAAATTTTAGTGGTTATACGTTTTGTATTGACATCAAGTGCACTATATGGTTTATCCAACACTATGGATTCGGTCTACAATGCATTTGGTCTGAATATTTGTTACTATGGGCAATCGTTCGATATTTTGTCAAAGTCTTGCTTAAAAACCCATTAAAGTTGCATGCAAAAACTAGCAGCACTCGTCTACTAAATGTATTCGGTGTACATTTGATCAATATCCTCTGTGTAATACCTCAAACCTCGGTCGTAAATATAGACGGTCGATTTGGAATTCTGTGCATCAGCGTTTTTATCCTTTCGACATTGTGTACGTGATTTACATTCTTTTAGTTTAGCCAAAGCAAATGCACTTTTTCCCCCGTCAGCAGAGCATCTTCCCCGTGCTGCAGTCACATGCATCACACGTTTTCAATGGATTTTACCAATCTGAACAAATAAATAACTTTGCGCTTTCCACCTTCACAAACGATTCGGGATTCAAAGTGGTAAATAAACTTAAACATCCCGTATAAAAAGAAACGGATAATGAAAATCCTTGAGTGTTTTCTTTTGAAAATGCACTTGGGAGTTTTTAGAAAGTGTTCAACGTTGAATTTGTCCCACGTATTTTCTGTCTTAAAAGCAAAAAAATCGCACACTGAATGAAACGAAAAGTTTTTGTATCATCGCCAATTCTCTGTCCATTCAACGCCATATCAAAGTTCTTTATTTTTATTGCAAGCGTTTTGAAAGAGCGGAAAAAAGTGCCGGAATGCATTCATTTGTGCAGCAATTTTGCTTTTTGATACAATCTAAAATATTGGCGGTAATAACATAAATTTCGCATGAGAATGCATTCAAAATTTTCATTTGGTTCGACGTAAAACGTAACACGATTGACTTTAACGGTTATTCTATGTTCACAAGCGTATTGCGGCATTTAAATTCATCCATTCGCTCATGCAATTGGTTTTCTCTTCTCTCTGCGTTTCAATATTGGATATATGTGTAATTTGGCTATAGTACTATATACTAGATAAAGTTGGTTATGCATGCAGTATTGATCCGATCCGAAATAAAGCTGAAAAATTGTAAGAAGAAGACTTTCAATCGTTTTTTACACCATTAGACCTGACGACGCCGAAATGCAGAAAAGATAGTCTGTTTTTTTGTTCGTTCGTTCTTTCACATGGCATTTCAACGTGGAACTTACAACAATCGGATCAAATGGTGGAATTTAATTTAACGTGGATCGACAAAAGACAGCTTAAATGCGAAAACCACACAATCAATAAATGTTTGAGACAATGACATTTCGAGCAACGTTCGAAAATCAATATTTCTCTCTCTCTCTCTTTCTCTCGATGAGTTTATGGAGTAATTTAATTTTATTTGCCATGACACTCAATTCGGAGAGTCAACGAGATGTAACTGCGTTGTTTTTGTCTGTGCGCTCGGCATATTCAATCCAAAAAGCGATACTGTTGATACAGTAAATTAAATTCCACCGTAAGTGACATGGTGAATGAAAAAACAACGATGCGATTGAACGTTGGTTTTTGCCATACATTCATCCAATCGAATGCAGTTTGCATTATTGATTTCAATCAATTTTGAAAGTCACCATCATTTTGACAGTGATCACGAGTTTTAAGCATTCCATTCGACATTTTTTGGATTAATATTATAGAGAGCAATAGAAGAGTGGCATTTTATGGAGTTGGCGTTGCTGCAATTTCAAAAGTTCCCTAAACTTTGTTCAATGTTTCGCAAGGGAGAATTTCGATGCATATTCTCTTGATTGCACCTGCAATTTCATTATGAAAATTGCAAAAGCATCAAATGAGAAATTCCCAAAATGTTCCGGACCACGTGATTTGGCTTTGACATTGACCTTTCGCGTCAAAGCCAATGGAATTAAATTTGTACTAGTCCGGTCCGAATTTGTTTTTTTTTTTCGATCCGGACGACCGGAAATTTCTCATTTCATTCGGCAAATCGATGTTTAAAAAATTCAAAGCAGAGATAATGGGTTTTTTTGGTTCCAGTTGGCAGAACAAATGCGATTAGTACATAGTATATAGTGAAATCAATGGTTTTATTGCAGTTTTGTTTCTAAATGTAATTTTTTTTTCTTTCTCTCGCGCGTTTCATTCGAATAGGTTTGGACAACTTGAACGCTCGTTGCGCACAATACAAGAAAGACGGTTGTGACTTCGCTAAATGGCGTTGCGTCTTGAAAATCGGCAAGAACACACCAAGCTACCAAGCCATCTTGGAGAATGCCAACGTGTTGGCACGTTATGCATCAATTTGCCAAGCCAACGGCATCGTTCCAATTGTTGAACCAGAAATCTTGCCAGATGGTGACCACGATTTGGACCGCAGCCAAAAAGTCACCGAAACCGTTTTAGCCGCCGTTTACAAAGCATTGAGCGACCACCATGTCTACTTGGAGGGTACATTGTTGAAACCAAACATGGTTACACCAGGACAAAGCTGTGCCAAACGCGCTACCCCAGCCGAAGTTGGTTTGGCCACCGTTACCGCTTTGCGCCGTACCGTTCCAGCCGCTGTTCCAGGTAACATTTGCCCGTTTAACTTTATTCACCGTTCTTTTCTTGCATTTTAACGCCAAAAATGATTGATGCATTCTAAATTTGCGTTTGAATTTTGTAGGAGTCACATTCTTGTCGGGCGGTCAATCTGAGGAAGAAGCTTCAGTCAATTTGAATGCTATCAACCAAGTTCCACTGGGGCGACCATGGGCATTGACCTTCTCATACGGTCGCGCATTGCAAGCATCCGTACTCCGTGCATGGGCTGGCAAAAAAGAGAATGTTGCCGCCGGTCAACAAGAGTTGCTCAAGCGTGCTAAGGTCAGTATGAACATTCGAAACGCACATTTATTTCCGTAGAATAGCAAGTTAATCATTGGATTGGCTGGGATGGGTTTAGATTTTACAAACAATCACTACTGGGATATGCTAAGGGGAGATACTACTCAAATTTATTTTCAAACATCGTTTTCATCATTTTCCGTTGATGAAAACGTGTTCGAGGTACATGGTGGCAACGATAAATGGCAAAACGGAATCCATTTGATTGCATAATCGAAACATTCTACGAAGATCCATCATTCATTTTCGTGCATTACTCAATTGGTGCACATTTAGTTTGTTGTTCATTTGGACAACGGTAGAATTTAGCTTGCAGCATATTTGCTGGATAAACTGAAAGCCAAATGAAATTAACACCCTTCGCAAGTGTAGAATTGGTTTGTGGATGTTTTTGTTGCGCTTGTCCATTTATGTGGAACGTCAGCAATCACAGTAGAATATTTGCAATTAATATGCATCAATTGACGTCGGTGGAACGGTGAAGCAACGAAAATATTTATGTTTTATGCCTGCGTCATTTATTGGGTGAAATATCGATCGAATTTGCAATCACTGCATACCCATTGCATACTAATAATTGAAAACTCATGGAAAATTAATTTTGTATGATAAGCCGAATGCAATGCATCGCATCAAATCACATTGCATATCATAGCAAAATGGTTGAATTCGTTATTGCACTTGTCTTGTATTCTCAGAATGGCCATGTATTCATTTCATTTATTTCAATATTTATTCACACAAAACCAACAATTTCATTTTGGTTTTTCACAAAGTTTTGATGCAACAGCCGTCGCCTTTCAACTTAACTTCCCACCACATTGCCACACTATTCAACAATTTCCATTACAAGAACGCGTCGAATCAAATAGCGTCTAGGCCAAATGTATTTTCAATAATCCAAGTGCAATCGGTAAACCATAAAAATCGATGGCACACGCGTCGCGAACAAACAGAAAATGGAAAAAGTTTCCATTTTGACGGTCAATGGAGAAAAAAGCAAAGTGAACGAAAACGATTTCGATTTGTTCAACAAATGGCTTTTTCGTTCGCATTTACTACCCTTTTATTGTCGCCTGCAGACAGTAATTTATAATATTTTGTACAATTTTCACCCATACTCTTTGAAGAAGAAGAATATAAAACCCGTCGACTATATTCTCACAGCATAAAATGCAAAATTCCATGAAAGCCATTATCATTGTCAGCGATAACACCTCATAAATTAACGTGTATGTCGGGTGGACATGTCTGTTGCACCAGCGGCGATAAGCTCTCACTTGCAAACTCCACAGCAAAATATAAACAAACATTATCAAGCATTAAATTGTAAAAAGTGCTTGAAATGGGAATAAATGAAATATTGCGGCGCTGCTCTGGAACGGCTTCTGTTTTTCTGGAGCAATAATTAGTGAGCAGCTAGTGTGTGTGTGTGTATGTGTGTGTGTGTGTGTGTGTGTGTGTGATTGCATGAGGTTGTGGTCGAATTTTCACACTTAAGTTCACTTGAATAACACTCAGAAAATTCTGCTCATTTGCGTTTGAGTTGAGAACGATTGAGTTGAAAATCATTCCACTCAGCTTTGAGATAAATGCTCGCATCCGCAATCATTTCACTCGTAAAAGCCACTCATTCTGAATGAGATATGCTTGAACCTGTTGAAAGCAAACAAATCGCTGCCGCAAATGAAATCCAATTGATTATTCAGTGCTTTCTTTAAAACAATTCACCAAAACTTTATTGGCTTTCTCACAATGATGACCTCACTTCAACGACGACGACGACGACGACGCTGATATTTCGCTTTTGTTGTGAAAGACAAACATCATTTGTGATTTGATTTACAACCCAACTTCCATAAAATGACCTTAAAATTTCAAGCGCACAAATACCGAAACTCGAAACTACTCACATCTCGGGCAAAACGTTAAGTTTTAATTTCCGTGTTGCTCAATGTTTAACTGCAAATTGAAGGCAATTCGCAATTTTGATGATAACCCAAGTCATACACGCTCAATGTACGCTATATGCACGGAAATTATTACACTCTTTAGTCAAGTGAATTTATCTTATTTGCCATAAAGTACACTCTTACTTGAATGGCTTCCGATTTTTCATTAGATGGGGGGGGGGGGGGCAAACCATGACATTTCGTCATACGAAGAATACAGTACACTTATATAAAAACATTTATGTGCTCATTTTGTGGGGCATTCAATGTACGATACAAAATGGTTTTCACCATTCAATCCGGTTGGTGTGTATACCGTTGCAATAGCAATGCGTGGTATGTCACAAAAGATGTTCATTTCCACATAGATTGTGTGCAGGATAAAGAAAGACGGAGCTCATTGACTGACTTCTTCGATTTTCATGTTATTGCATCGAGCATCTAATCCACCTGATGTCATAACTACAGTAAGCTTTTGTTATTATTAAGCGCATGGTTTGTCGCCTTTTGCCTTAATCGAACCCAAAGAAAATGAGCGAAAACAGAATTTAGGTCATTTCTATGGCGATAAGCTCGAAAAGATTCACCGAAGGTGATTACATTTTATCCGGTTCCGTGTACTCACATGTCGTCGTCATTGTCGTTGTTTGACCGAACGTATCTTGCTTCGAACTATGATGTGTGTTTATATTTTCTTCGAATTTGGTACACTGTGAGTAAATATCTTGATCTTATTCTTGTTTCCCTCCATTCGCTCACAAGGATCATCCACAATGTGCAATATTTTCGTTAACCTCACCTCGACGAAGTGGTGCTATCGTCTCAACCACTCCGGATGCTTTTTCAAAAGTGTGACATCAAAATTAAGTGTGGCACCAAAGCACTTTTCCCATCATGCTCACACATATCTTGGGGAATTTCCATTTCATTGCATTTCAATTTCACAGAGAGTTGTATTTCTTAACAACTGAGAATAGACTGTGCGCTTCGAAAAAAAGGGAATTTTCTCAGAGAATCTATCATCAAGCGATTATGTTAATACCAATTCATATGATGATGAAAAACTGAAATTGTCACGCTTTTTCTGACTCTCAACTGGACGATTTTTTTTTCAATCAACACTTCCCCAGATTCATATGTACTTGTCCAATAAAAATTCCCTCGTTTTCTGAAAACGACAAAACAATGCTAAAAACCCGTTTCCAGGATTTTCAAGCACTTGCACAAGAAAATTCTCTCTGAAATGGAATAATCTCAAGTGAAAATAAAACAAAACGTGAAGGAATTACAAAGCTATGCATTTATAGAAGAAGAAATAGAAAAAGCGAGTATCCTTCAGCAGACGCAACACTTTGACATTAAATCCGAAGGGATGGCGGACGGCACTTGTAATACTTGCGTGTCTGATTTTTTTTCTCTTTAGTTCTCAATGAATACGAATGAGCCCGGGAGTGCAACATGTGAAACGAATTTTTCTTTCGTTTTTCATTTGGCATGTGTCACCCCTGATGTTTTGATGTTCGTTTTTTTCATCCTCGTGTGTTTCGCTTGATAAAACAAATAGAAAAAACCCGTACATTGATTCGAATTCGAGTCAAAGTTGAAAATTGGAACGAATGGAATGCAAAAAAATCAACTTTATTACATTTAAAATGTATCGAGGTCATCCGTTTCGATTTGTAAGCCAATAGAACGAGAAAAAAAACACGACAACGACTACGAATTGGAATACAATGGTGTTTTTTCCGAATTTCATTTGCATTTTTTCTACTGGTTTGTACCAAATAAAGATTTGCCCTTTCAGCAACACACCACCAACTCAACCGATTTTCGATACTCGATGAAAGCGAAATACGATACATGTTAAAAGCTTTTCTCTGTTTGCGCTTTGCAACCAATCGCTCAAATCGATTGTTTCCTTCAACAAATATGCTTCGATGCATAAAATATCTATCGTCGTTGTCGAACACATTGCCTTAAAAATGCATGACATTTCACATTTGCCAGCTTTTCTTCCCTTCTTGTTGTTGTTGCTCCGAAAAGTTTCGATGCATTTTGCAGTTTGAACGAAACAGCTTCAAAGTGATGTTTATCTGTCGAATAGATAATAAGCAACTCTTATAATTATAACCCTATACATTTTTAAATTAAGTATGGATTTTCATTTCTTCTTTATGTTAACGAAAGTTTAATCATAACCATTTTCCATCGAAACCTTTCTAAATATTATACTTTCCACTTTCTTCCTTCCTTCATTTTGCTTTCTTTATTATCATCGAATCAAAAATACCATTTGCATCGCATGGTAAATTTGTAAACCACTTTTGCTCAGTTTGTTTTTTTAACAAAGTAAACACATAAGCATGTCAATAACGCTCTGCATAGGGCTGATAAAACACAAGACATTCATTAAATACTTAAGGCAAAGTGTACATAAATGCAATGTTTTATTAAAATTTGCATTTATTTTATTCATCCACATCCTGACAAACCGCACAAACAATGTCAAATAAGAGAAGAAACTTCATGACGCTTTGGCATTTACCACCAGAAACATTTACCACTAAGCTAAAATAATGCATCATTATTTTCGGAATTATTTTATATGGATATGGCACCTCCTACTCTTGTTTCGCTTTTGTGTTTTGTAAATAATGTTATGTTCTCTTTTTTTATTTTTGTTCCACCTTTTTCATCGAAAAATCTCCCATTGCCGCAATTCCCACACCACACGGATCATACGTTCAAAATTGAAACAAACACAATTTTCCGTCACAAAAAAACACTATGCGATGGTAAACATTCCATCAACGATACACATGCACACGTAATCCACTGGCACGTTATAATCCAACGGCACCACTTGCTCCCTGAACTCAATTATCCTGAAATCAAATAAACAAACACACGATGCGGATTGATTCCCATTTGGATTTCTGTGATTTGACACACACTCACACACGCACACACATTGACGCAATTTCACGCCTGAAACAGGCTAATGGATTGGCCAGCACCGGCAAATAC